GCGAGTCAACAATAATACATGTGTTGACAATTAGTTTTTAATTTACTTTTTTAAATACAAATAAGTAACGAAATTTGATTGAGTTTAATGATTTGGAAAATATAATAATTGAACTTTAATTTGTAATTGAAAAAACTGCATTTTATTTTTTCGTAAACTTAGACGAGCTTCGCAAAGTTAACCTACACTAAAAATTCGCAGAAATACCCACACTTACCCTATATAAACTCATCGCAGGATTTCAATTACTTTTTGAAAGAATTCAATTATTCTCAATTTTTTTTAATAATAAAATTCTCTCTGAGAATTCAATTGTTTTCAAAAATAATAAAATTCTTCTATTATTTATGAAAATAATTCAATTTTCTAATTATTTTCATAAATAATAAAATTCTTTGCAATAATTCAATTATTTTCGTAAATATTAAAATTCTTCACAGGGATTCAATTGTTTTCATAAATTATAGAATTGTTTTTTGGAATTCAATTTTTTTCATTAAGAATAAAACTCATAGCAGAATTTCAATTATTTTTAATTCAATTCTAATCAAATTTCTCGAAAAATGCAATTATTCTTTAAAATATTATTAAAATTCGTCGAAAAAATTGAATTATTTAAAAAATTGTTTATAAAATTTGTGTCCTAATTTCAAATTATTTTTAAAAAACTTTCTGATTTCAATGATATTCAATATCTACTATTTCAATAAAATTTTCCAAAATGAAATCAATTTAAAAAAAATTTCTAATAAAATTGTACGCAAACATTTAATTATTTTTCTAAATAATAAAAATTCCACAAGAATTTAATTATTTACAAATTTCTTAAAAATTTCTTCGCAATAATTTAATTATTTTCAAACATAATAAATTTTTTTTATAGAAATTCAATTATTTTCATAAAAATAATTAAAAATTCTAGAAAATAATAATTGAATTGAAATGATGAAAATAATTTTAAAGAAGTTAGAGTAACAATATTCTTTTAAAATAAAAGTTTTATCGGTATCTTCATAATTTATAACAATACTTTAAAAAAAGTTGTTTAATTTCAAAAAAGTTTGAATTTGAAATTTTTAAATATCTTAATTATATAGTATAGTTAATTTTTTATTTATCAAGAGCTATTTTATAAATTAATAAAAATATAAGAAAAAAAACGTTTTTATCATTTTATAAAATAGCTCTTGATAATCAAAAAATAGGTTAGTAGTCACTTTTTCTAAAAAAAAATTTTTCCTAATCCTTTTTGTCTTAAAAAACGATTTCTAATGAATGTTTTGTAAAAAAATGTTTTTCTAACAAGTTTTGATTTTTAAAAAAAGTTTTTCTTAAAAGTTATTATGATTTCTCATATTTATTTTCCAAAAATTTTTAAAATTCCATAATTTTTATAAAAATTATAAAGTTGTGAAAAAAACTAAAATTAAGAAATAGAAACTATTTTGCATATTTTCTGTTTCTCAATAAGAATTCTGTTCAAAAAATTATAAAGTTTCTTTTTGAAAATGAAGAAAAAATGTTATAAAATTACTAATTTTTAACACAATTTGTTAACAAAATTTTGTTCTTCTTTGAAAAACAAAAATAATAATTTGCATCAATTTTATACCAAAATTTCCAGAATTCATTTATTTATAAAACACTTTTTTAGAAAATTTTAATTATATCTTTAGAAAAAAAAAATCTCTATAATTTCCATTTGTTAATTACGATTTTTAAATTTTAACTAGATTATTTTAAAACTTGCATAATTTCTATTTTTAATTATAATTTTTTAACGAAATCTCAAAAATATTTTTTTCAAAGAACTAAAGAAAAATTAGAAAATTACCTTTATTAGAAAAATAAATTTGTAGAAAGTGACCATTTATTAGAAGAAAAAAAAATAAGAAAATCACCTCAATTAGAAAAAAGCTTTTAGAAATCTACCTTTATCAGAAAAAAAATTTTAAGAAAATACGTTTTAAAAAAACTGCACTCCAACTAAAAAATAGTTTGTTATTACACGTGGGTGCTTGATTCTATTTTTACTGTACAAAAAGAATAAACAATAGAAAAGTTTAATATTAGGAGAGAAATTAATATTACTTCTCTATTTAAATTATTTTCATACTGTTGTAATATTAATGTAAGATGAAGAATAAAGATCCAAGAAATTGTGGATGACGCGCATGCGCCAATTCTCGGTATTCGCGCTTGCGCACCACGTCGTTGATCGTTTGCGCACCGCAACGACGTAGTGCGCAAGCGCGAATACCGAGAATTGACGCATGCGCGTCACGCCGCTGTTGATCGGCCAGCTGTCATAGTTTCAATTCCTAAGAAAATTTTTGTCTAACGATTTTTTTTTATCAAATTTAGAAATATACAATAGAATAATATTGATTTAGAAAGTAAATTAACCTTTCGAAAAATAAAAAAGTCGAGCATATAAAACTCAAAAAGGAAAAACAATTCCAATTTGAAGAAAAGCGAACCGACGAAACAAAGTTCTGAACGATTTATGAAGCTGATAAGCTCGTGAAACGATCTGCGAGTAAATAGAGTACAAACGAGAACACACGAAGGCCACGGGATTTGCAGTATAGTGGACATGAAAAAAATGCAGGCGAGTTAGAGAGAAAATGTATCGAATAGCCAAAAAAAGGAAAGAGAGAGTGAGACAGAAAGAGAGTGATGTGCAAGAGTGGGACTACATGTTTTGGAGGAGGGGGGAGTCGTATTATAAAAATCCACAAAATAACCGAGCAGGGCCATTAGCAATGCTCTTTTAACCCTCGCCATTCAACATTTGCCCTCGTGTTGCGTGTAAATTTTCCAGCGGCGCGGTCGCTCTCTGGCTACATTTTTCGTCGAGTGTGGCACTGCATATATGCCCGCGGGAGGGAGAGTATTTTCTCCCTCCTTGAAAGTTCAACCCCGCATATATATGAACACTATCTCTACACACTCTCTCCCACTCTCTCGATTTGCGCGGCTACCCATCACCCCCCCCCCCCCCACTGGTGGTAATCCGACTGGCTAGCCACTCGCGCCAACAAATACCCTCACCATAGCGGAACCACCACTGAGCACCCCTTTTCCACCCACAATTCCACCACTCACGCATACACAGAGTGCCCAAAAACTCACCCCCAGCCCCCTCACCTCTTTACTATTGGCAACCCCGCGCGCGCTTGACCCTCTCTCGGTGTGTGGTACACTCTGGTGAACCATCCCCAACACCCTGAACACCGCGAAGTGCGCACTGCTATATAGTTTATATACTATATACATATAGATACATGTATATGATTCACCGTATGTATGAAACCATATCGACGGGAAAATTTTTCTTTTTTTTTTCCACCCACCAACTTCCGGTGCAGCCATCGCAACAATTTACGATTCGTTATATCAGAGTTGAATGTCTAAAGATCGGGGGCTGATATACCGATCATATGCGTATTGTGATCGGTGCAGTTATCAGTTATTCTTTTTTCGCCATATTGGATCCGCCATTTTGAATTTTGAAAAACTGACCTCGAATTCGTAATTAGTCCTAAAAATGTTTTAGTTCCCATAGCGCTCGTTGTTCCAAGAGAAAAACTTTTGCAATAGTTTCAGAACTTAAACTCTCAGAACTTCCAACCTTAAACACTGAAGTTTTTAAGTTTGGAAGTTCTAAGAGTTTTATTTGTAAGAGTTTTAGTTGGAACGCTCCATATATATAGTGTAAGAGCTTCAATTCGTAAAGTTGACAGTTTTTAAATAGTTTCAATTTCCATGGTTGTAATTTTTAAGAGTTTAAGTTCCTGCGATTCAAAGTTCTATGAGTTTGAATTTGTAAGGTTGGAATATCTAAGAGTTTCAATATCTAAGGTTGGAAGTTCTAAGAGTTTATGTTCTGAAACTATTGTAAAAGTTCAAAGAGTATTCGTTTCTAAGGAAATAGAACTTCCATTCTTCAGGTATAAAACTAGAGTTTTATTGAGAACTGTAGGTTCTATGAGTCTTTGTATCCAGATTGATAATTCTTATATAATTTAAGTCCATACTTCTGTAGGTTCTAAAAAAAGCTTTTGTTTCTAAAGTAAAATTGAAAGTTCTAAGAGTTCTAGTATATCTAACACTCTAGGTTCTATGAGTTTTAGTTCGTAAGGCTTTAAGTTCTAAGAGTTTAAAAGTCTAAAGCTGAAATTTTTAAGAGTTTTCATTTCAAACATTGAGAAGACTAAACTCCAAAAAATTGGAAGTTTTTAGAGTCCCAGTTCTTATGATTGAAAGTTCTAAGAGTTTTATTATATAACGCTCCAGGTTCTAAGAGTTTTAGTTTATAAGGCTTCTAGTTCTAAGAGCATAAAAGTCTAAAGCTAAATTTTCTAATAGTTTCAGTTCTTAATGTTGAAAGTTCTAAGAGTATAAATTCCTAAGACTGTAAAAGTGATCAAGGAGTATTCGTTTCTAAGAATGAAAGTTCTGAAAAATTTATTTCTTATGATTCGTAATGTTTTGGGAATTTATTATGTGAATGCAAAGGGAGCGGTAATTAACACAAATAATTAAACACAGATTTTACACTTTACATATTACAACAAAATTGCACTTTATTTACTTATAATGCTTACAAAGGGTTAAGTGTTTTGGGTGTATTTGAATATAATTGGATTTGTAAAAGAGTTAAGTTTAAGCGTCGCGTCGGTTGATTTGTATTGAAAGATCTGTCACGCTTCGTCACGTCTGATCTTGTCAAAGGATATTTTTGTACTGTTTTGTGCCACCCGTAGTCGAGGTGTTGTCTATACCTGGACCCTTTCGGTGCATCTTGTCTCTGTACGTGGGTACTGTAAGTGCTAAAAATGTCCTTACTTGTACTGTCGCCTAAAGTATAGTAAGGTTCAGTAAGTTAGTATTATCTGTCTTGTCGAGTAGTTGTGTGTTACTTTTGTCGTATGTAATTTAATTTTTGGTGTGTCCGTAACATTCCCCCTCTTGTATATCTAGTATAGATATACATTTTAAGGTATCTCGAGGACACACAGTCGATTTACGGAACGTCGTAGTGTCCCAGTTGATGTATTAACATCCGCCACTCGGATTCTTCCGTCTCTCCCTGGGTGTACAGCTGATATGCGTCCTCGCCTCCACTGGTTGCGAGGGGCGTTCTCGTCCCAGATGACAACGAGATCTCCTATTTTTACTTCTGGTCGCTCTCGATGCCACTTTGCACGCCGGTTGATTGAAGGTAGGTACTCCTTGATCCAGCGTCGCCAAAATTGATTGGCAAGCCACTGAGAGTATCGCCACTGTCTGCGTAAGGCTTCACCATCTGAGGCCGTAAGCATACCTGGTCCTCGTCCTTGTCGTGCGGCTGCCGGTTTTAGTCCCAGGAAGTCATTTGGTGTGAGACTTCGGTTGTCTCCTGGGTCGTCTGACACGTAGGTAAGTGGTCTGTTGTTGATTGCGTATTCGGCTTCGGCAAAGAGTGTCTGTAGTACTTCTTCTCTCGGTGCCCGTTCTTTCAGGGAAACATTCAGTGCCCTTTTTACTGAACCGATGAGTCGTTCCCAGCAGCCTCCCATGTGAGGACTCCCGGGTGGTATGAAGTGCCAGTCGATTTTCTCCATTGCAGCTTCTTTTAAAATTTCTTCTTTGTCCAGATTGAGAACTGCTTTCCTCAGTTCTTCGCAGGCGCCGTGAAAATTTGTCCCGTTGTCCGAATATATGCGCTGCGGTTTGCCGCGACGGGCCATCATCCGTCGCAAAGCCATAATCATTGAGTCGGTGTCAAGCGAGGCAGCTATTTCCAAGTGAATAGCCCTAATTGTCAGACATGTAAATAAGACTCCGTATCTTTTCTCATGCCTTCGTCCTATGGTAACTTGCATGGGGCCGAAGTAGTCTACTCCGGTGTCAGTGAATGCCACTACGTTGTCTTGCAGTCGGGGAGTTGGTAGTGGTGCCATCATGGGAGCTACTGGTTTTGCTCGTCTGTGTTTACAAAGCAAGCAGTCATTCCAGGATCGTCGTACTGCTGTGCGTATACTCGTTATCCAGTAGTTTTGTCTAAGGTCGTTTACGACACGCTCTCTTCCGTGATGTCCAGCTTTTCGGTGGTGTTGTAAGATCAGTAATCGTACAATATGGTTTCGTCCATCCAATATTATTGGTTGGAATCCAGATCCGTCTTTGCTTACTCGTCCATTCATCCGTATTAGTCCGTCCTTAAACACAGGTGAAAGTGAGACAATTTTTGAACTCGGTGGTACTTCTCTTTTGGTCTGTAGAAGGTTCCACTCATTTGGAAATGATTCCTTTTGGGATTGACGAAGTACTTGTTCTTCTGCTCGTTGAATCTCTGATCCCGTTAGTTCCCATGAATTCCCTGTAGTCTTCTTTTTTCTACAGCGTTCGATGAATCGTAGTATCCAGGCACAAACTCGCGTGATCTTCTGTATTGACGAGTACTTGCTGCAGTCCAGTAGGCATTGTTCCACTTGTGTCGTAAAGCAGAATTCTTTTCGCATTTCTTTCTTGATTTCGTCGGACTGTCTGTCCGGCATTTTTTGTACAGGCCACTCTGTCTCTTCTAGTTTTAAGAAACTAGGTCCTTGAAACCAACGACTGGTCTGTTTTAGAGGTTCTTGATTCTTGCTTCTGGTTGCGTCGTCTGCTATGTTTTGTTCCGTCGGAATCCATCGCCACTCGTTTGTCGAAGTAACATCTAGAATCTCCGCGATTCTATGAGCAACAAATGGTTGATATTTTCGTGCGTCGGATCGTATCCATCCCAAGACCGTCTGTGAGTCAGACCAGAATACGACCCGATCCAGTTGTGTCTTGTGTTCTTGTCTGATGAACGTCGAAAGTCGGGCTGCCATTACCGCACTTTGTAGCTCCAGTCTTGGTACGGTCAGTATTTTTATTGGTGCTACTCTTGATTTTGACGTGACTAAAGTGATGTGGATTCCGTGGTCCCCCTCTAGTCTGAGATATGTGGCTGCAGCGAAGGCTTGGGTGCTGGCATCACAAAATATGTGAAGTTGCACATTCTTAAGTTTTCCAATACCACCGACGTAATAACGTGGTATTTTTATTTCGTCAATTTTCTTCAGGTCCTTTAACCAGTCATTCCATATTTTAGAAATCTCGGGTGATACTTCTTCGTCCCAGTGAGTTCCTTCTTTCCAAATCTCTTGAAGAAGTATCTTTGCTCGAATCGTTAGTGGTGAAAGGAAGCCGAATGGGTCGTAAACTGACATTACGACTTGTAATATCTTTCTCTTAGTCGGTGACTTTACTTCCGTCGTCAGTTGTTTATCCAGTTTAGGGAATTGTGTACAGAAGTGGAAACTGTCTGTTTCCGGTGACCAGTGTACTCCGAGTATTCTGGTATTGTTTTCGTCCGTCAGTGTGACGCCTTTTCCCGTAGGTGCTAGGATGCTTGGATCAATTGCCGCTCGTACTTCCGACGAGCTCGTCATGATGTTGTGCATTTCGAATCCTCCTTTGCGATGTACGAGTATAACTTCGTCGAGCATCCTCGTGGCTTCTTCTTCGGTGTCTACGCTGATGAGGAAGTCGTCCACGTAGTGATTGTCGATGATGGCTTCACACGCTTCTGGGTACATTTCCTTAAACTGTTCCGCGTTGCGATTTTTCACTTCTAGTGCAACGTATGGAGAAGAGATAGCTCCAAAGATCATAACAACCATTTCCAAAGTACATATTTCCTTTGTTTTTTCGTCACGCCACAGGAGACGTTGACTTCCGCAGTCTTCTTTCCTGATGCGTACCTGATGGAACATCTCGCGAAGGTCTCCACATATAGCGATTCTTTTTTCCCTAAATTTGAACAGTAGTCCTGGTAAAGAGCTAAGGAGATCTGCTCCCTTCAGTAGCCGGTCGTTTAAGCTAAGTCCATAGCTTTTCGCAGCTGCATCGAGGACCATGCGAAGTTTCTTTGGTTTTTGTGGGTTGTATGCTGCGAAGTGTGGTAGGTACCACGTCCGGTCCGTTTCGTTTCGCGCCTCGTCGTCGGTGAGTTTACGCGCGTATCCTTTTTTTATGTAAGCTTGCATATTTTCACTATATTTTTCTTTAAATATTGGGTCGCGCGCCATCTTTCTTTCAATTGATAAGAGTCGTCGCAAAGCGTTCTCGCGGCTCTCCGGTAAAACTTCTTGGTCCGTTTTCCAGAGCAAACCTACTTCCCAGCGGTCGTTCACACGTCTCAGGGTTTTGTCGATTATTTCCTTGGCTCTTTGCTCTTCTACTGAGCTTAAGGATTTTTTTACTGGTGAGACGCCGAACGATTCTGTTGTCCAAAATTCGCGAATCTGTTCGTTGATTTCTTCGTCGTTTCCTTTCTGTCTGATAAGAAAGGCGAAATCCTTATCTACTCGTTCATTGTTGTCGGGTCCGTGAACCATCCAACCAAGCGGTGTCAATGTTGCAAATGGTGTTCCCACTTTCCCAGTTATTTGTTGGATAACCTTTTTGACGTGCAAGTTATCCTCGCCGATCATAATGGTCGGTGTAGCGTTATCCAGATCGTGGATGTCCACGTCCTTTAAATATGGCCACTTTTCTACATCGACTGTCATTGACTGACCTGGCATTTTCATTTTTGTCGTGCGAGCATTTTTTATCGTATAGGTCTTTCCCGTAGTCCCGCGAATCTCGAGGCTGACTTGTCTTGACTCGCGATCTTCGTTGGTACTGTCGTCATACCATGAAGTGATCAGAGGTCGTTTTGGTCCTTTTAATCCAAGTTGATTGGCGATGTCATCGGATATCAGGGAGACCGTTGCACCCCCGTCGAGTAGTGCATAAGTGTCAATTTCGCGGTCAGGTCCTTTCAATGTTACTGGCAGAATGCGAAGGTATACACGTTTCGCGTTCTTTCTCGTACAGTTAACACGTTCCGCGTCGTTTTCCGTGTCTGGTTCCGTCTTCTCCGCTGATTTTTCCGCTTGTCTTTCGAGAAAATCGTTGTGAAGGGTGGGGTGATGTCTTCGCGTACAACCAGGCTTGTCACATGTTGGTTGTTTGCATAATTTGATGCTATGACTAGGCGATAAACAGCCAAAGCATATACGTTTTTTCCTTACTCATGCCCATCTATCGTCGACCGACAACTTAAGATAATTGAAGCACGCACTTGTCTGGTGCGAAGTTTTATTACAGAAGTGGCATTTTCTTTTCTTTTCGTCGATGTTTTCCTCGCGACACGATAAAACACGTTTTTCGCTTTTTTCCTTTTCCGGTGGTAGCGGTTGGTATATCGCGCTCGCGGCTTCTGCCTCTTCAGATATCCAGCTCGCGAAACTGAGTAAATTTGTGCCGCTGTGGTCCTTTGCGGCCCTTTTACCCCAGTTCATTTTAATTGTCGCGGGTAATTTGTTAACTAGTTGTCGAATGAGAATTGGGTTTGATAAGTAAGCAGGTTGATCGAGAGATTCGACTGTCGCTACTAAGTTAGTCACGTTTTCAGCAAATCTTATCATTGTTAAAGGTTTGTCTTCCTTAACGCTCGCTGTGTTCGTCGCTTTGTTCATTAAATCCTCGATTATGTGGTCAGCTCGCCCGAAACGCCGTCTTAAAACGTCTATTACGCGCTCCACGTTCGTCGTCATTATTAGAGCTCTAACCGCGTCCAAAGCATCTCCTTGCAAACATTTTTGCAACCGTAGCATATTTTCCGCCGACGAAAACCCACACGCTTCCGTCGTTTGGTAAAATATTCTTTCGAATAGGATCCAATCGGCCGTGGATCCTTTGAAAGTCGGTAAGTCTTTTCCGATGGCTTGTCGAGCCATATATTTGTCTCGCGTATGTGGTACGATTACGTTCGGCGGTTCGCGATTGTCTACTCGCTTGTCGTCTTTACGTCTTTGGTCACCGTATTGAACCAACTTTACGTCGTCTTTGTTCACGTTTTGTTTGTTTAGCCAGTTCGTAACCTTTGAGCGTTTTGAACTCGCTGTTTTTACTGAGTATTCGCTAAATTGCTAGCCGTTGACCGAGATTCCGCGTTTTCATTTAATTTTGCTTCTGCCAGACGCGCCCGCAATTCAATTATTTGTTTCTCGTGGTTAGCTTGTGCTCGCGCGATTTCGGCTTCTCTTTCAGCCTGTTTACGGTCGATTATTGCAAGTTCTTCTTGCCGTTTCAATTCAATTTCTAATTTTTGTCGTGCTATAACACTCGCGTTTGACGTTCGCGAATTAATTGACGACGCGTTTGAAGACATTTTACTTGAAATTCCGCCACTAACCGTTTTTTGTCGCGATGTAACTTCGACGTGTTTGTTTAACATATGATCATACCGTAAGGGTGGTGCACCCTTATTTGCTCTAGAGCTGCGGCGTAGTTCCGTTTCTCCTGGCGTCAGAGTCTTATCGTGGTTGGGGTCAGTCTCGCCCCTCTCACTCCTTGCGGTAGAATGCATAGATCCTGGCATAGTAACGCTATGTCTCACTCACTCACAGTCACTCACAGTCTATCTCTGTCTGAGGTCTCTTTGGGCACAGTTTGTCTACCACTACACACACACACACACAACGTACGTGTACCTGACACTTCAGGTATGGTCCCACGCACTAAGCACTGTCTGTACTGTACGTCCGTGCACTGCCGCGTTTGTGTTAGTCACTACACCACTTCAACTACAGGCACTTTTCTGTCCTTGTCTCTATCCTAGCTTACCGACGCTTGGCTTGACTGACGCTTGGTATGGCGTCCTTTACTTTCACACATAAACTCGTCTATTTTCACACGCGTGTTCTCACATGTAATGTCTTTACACATGTCACAGTCTCGCACGTGGTGGATCCATCGCGATAGGATCCGGCTCGAAGGACCAATGTTTTGGGAATTTATTATGTGAATGCAAAGGGAGCGGTAATTAACACAAATAATTAAACACAGATTTTACACTTTACATATTACAACAAAATTGCACTTTATTTACTTATAATGCTTACAAAGGGTTAAGTGTTTTGGGTGTATTTGAATATAATTGGATTTGTAAAAGAGTTAAGTTTAAGCGTCGCGTCGGTTGATTTGTATTGAAAGATCTGTCACGCTTCGTCACGTCTGATCTTGTCAAAGGATATTTTTGTACTGTTTTGTGCCACCCGTAGTCGAGGTGTTGTCTATACCTGGACCCTTTCGGTGCATCTTGTCTCTGTACGTGGGTACTGTAAGTGCTAAAAATGTCCTTACTTGTACTGTCGCCTAAAGTATAGTAAGGTTCAGTAAGTTAGTATTATCTGTCTTGTCGAGTAGTTGTGTGTTACTTTTGTCGTATGTAATTTAATTTTTGGTGTGTCCGTAACACGTAAGTTCTAAGAGTCTTAGTTAAAACATTGACAGTTCTAAATATTTTTTAGTTAAAGTACCTAAAATTTTTTTGAAGCCTTTTTATATTATTAAAGTTCTGAGTTCTAAGAGTTTAAGTTCGTAAAGTTCGAAGTTCGAATAATTTTAGTTTTTAAGACTTTAAGTTCTCAGAGTGTCAGTTTCAATTGTTGGAAATTCAAAGAGTTTACTTTCAAAGGTCTAAATTCTAGAAAAGTCTATGTTCCTATATTTGACAGTTCTATGAGTTTAAGTTCTTAATACTTTAAGAGTTTTAAGTTAAGAGTTTTAAGTTTAAGAGTTTAAATTTAAGAGTTTAAGATGAGGAGTTTAAATTCCTACACGGAAAAAATAAATTCTGTAAGAATTCCTGAATTTGTTCCATAATTGAGGATTTGTGCAAAGTTCCAGAAATTTTTAGAAATTCAATGTAAGTATATCTGAATCGTTCCGAACTAATTACGAAACGGTTTTTGTGAGACTTTCAAAATCAGCATTGAAAAAAATTCCTGGAGAAATACAGGACTGGTCTATAATATTATCGAAATTTTGTCGTAGAAATTATATTTCTTCTAAAATAGTATTTACAAGCGTCTAATCAAGGAGAACTCCAGTTTAAATTTCATAATAATTCCCGAACTTCATCGAAAGAAAAGATGTGCCGACCTCGTTTCTCACAAGCGCTGAATAAAAGTAAAGTCTAGTATATAAGAGACTTCCCAGGTCCCTACAACCAGCGTGCGATTCAATGCGTCGTGTATTTGCGTTTATTTGTGTATAAATTATGTGTGCGTTAGAATATATGTAGGTAGCTATAAGTGTATTATGTATGTATGTATGTGTGTGTATCATCCTCAACCAATCACAGTTCGCCTTGCTTGACGAATGTCGATCAAGTATATACGCGTATACACAACTTCTTTTTTTTATTTTCTTTGCTACGGAATTGTTCCGGAACTATTCTGTAGCCCTTATAAGAGCTTCTTCATATATGAAGCGACCCTCTGAATTTCTCCCGAACTCATCGGAAGTTCTACCGTCCAGACTATCTGAAATACTCAGCCGCTACATTTCGTAAAAACTATCACATAAATACCGAGTTCTTACCATACAATTCCTGAATATCTATTTTGAAAGTTCGACATTTCTTCCAAATAACAGCTCTATAATAATTACCGACTTTTGCTCATATCCTCAATTTCGGAACGAATTGAGGAACTATTTCCGAATTATTTTTTTCCGTGTAAGATATTTAAGTTCTAAGAGTTTGAGTTTCTAAGGATATAAATTCTCAAATGTTTTATTTTTCATGCTATTAGTTCTAAGAGTTTTAGAATCCAGAATGTGGAAGTATTTTAATATACTTTGAGTTAAGATGAAAGTTTTAAAGATTCGTTCTAAAAGTTCCAAATTCTAAGAGGTTCAGTCTTATTTTGATTTTTAGTTTCTGAGACTCTAAAAGTTATATATATTTTTTTTAGTTCTTAAATTTGTAAATTCAAAGAGTTTTAGTTCAAGTTCAAAGTTTCAATTATTAAAGTTTTTAAAACTGGTTCTTTCCTTAAAGCTCTTCATGTTCTAAGAGTTTAAATTTAAGTTCTATGCGTTTTATGATTCTTAGTTTTAAAAATTCTACTTAAATTCGAATTAATCTATAATGAAACGAATTGAATTGAAACTAAATAAAATGAATTTAATTGAAATGAATTAAAATGAAACGAATTGAAATAAAATAAATAGAATTGAATCTAAATAAAATATGAATTGAAAAAAAAACGAATTGAATTGAATCTAAATAAAATGAATTGATTTTAAATTAATTGAAATGAATTAAAATGATTCTAATTGAAATAAAATGAAGTGAAATAAATCGAATTGAATTGAAATGAAATGAATTGAAAAACGATAATTGAATTGAATCTAAATAAAATGAATTGATTTAAAATTAATTAAAATTAATTAAAATGAAACGAATTTACTTGAAAACAATTCAAATAAAACAAATTGAATTGTAATGAATTGAAAAACGAATTGAATTGAATCTAAATAAAATAAATTGATTTAAAATTAATTAATTTAATTAATTAACTTACACTCTTTAAAATTAATTAATTTAATTAATTAACTTACACTCTTTAAAATTAATTAAAATGAAACGAATTGAAATAAAATAAAGTGAAATAAACGAATTGAAATTAAATAAATTGAAAAAAACAAATGAAAATGATCTGAAAAATCGAATTGAAATGAACTAAAAATGAATTAAATTGCAATGCATCGAAATATGCAGAAATAAAAAGAAATAAATAAAAATTAAACGAAATGAGAAGAAATAAATTGAAAATAAATTTGTTTCCGGCTAGAAATAATGTTTAATTATATTGTATATTACAATAAATTCCTTTCCAATTATATATATTTATTCGAAGCTACAAATACAAAGTAGGTTGCGGACGAACAATAGAAGTGACTCTTTTATTTTTTTTTTGTTGGACACATCTCTTTTGTTCTATATGTATATATAAGCTAAATAGAGGATTATTGAAAAGCTCAATCAGAAAGGTAGTCGATTAGTCCTTAATCAACTTTTTTTTTATCATCTGAGGATTTCGAGTTTCTCTCTTATAAAGCACGTCGTTTCGAAAATTAATGAAATCCTGCAGATCGAAGCGTGTAGGTAATAGCAGCCGACAACGATTACGATCACTGAGGGAAAGTCGATCGACGTGGTTGGTCATATGAGGTACACAGTACGTTGGTAAAAGGGTTGGGGGGTATTAACTAAAAACCAAGCCGTCGAGCCACTCGGTTCCCAACGTACACTGCACTTGGTCAAGCCAACCTATATTAGAGTACGTGTATATATGTATACGTATACTGTACGGGAGAAAAAGAGGGTTTGGAAATGTATGTGTGTGTGTGTGTGTGTGCGAAAGTGTTGGTGATGGTGCAGAAGGAGAGAGAGGGTAGAGGTCGAGAGACGTGACAGGTCCTGCATGGACCTCGTTTCGACATACGGACGATGGGAGAGAGAAAGAGCGTGTGTTCACTGTATACACGAGACCAAACACACGCTGCTGGAAAATGCCCATCCTGTCCATCATCCCCCTTCGTAGCGTTGGCGTCGGTGGTAACCGAGCGTCCGGTTCATTCGACTCTTTCTCTCTCTCTCTCTCTCTCTTTTACTCTCTGGAATGCATGCGAAACATCATACGATCGTTCTTGAAATGCTTTTTCATCCAGGAAAATCGGTCAGCTCGTTTACTGCTATTCAAAATGTCCGAGTATCTAGGAAAAGTAGAGGAGACACTCTTTTTTTTGAGCCTCGATAAATTATTACTCATTTTGTACATATTCTATTCTTTTTTTCATTATTTTTTTGGAAAGTAGGTTTCTTTTATCATGCGGTGTAAAATGATCTTTTAAATGATGTAAAGTGGTGTCAAATGATGTAAAA